GTGTGTGTGTGTGTGTGTGTGTGTGTGTGTGTGTGCATGCTAAAGTGTGGCATGTGAAGTAAATAAGTGATCTGTGGCAGAGGTCAGAGCTTCACAGATCCTGAAACAGGAAGCAGATGCTCCAGAACATATAGACGCAACGTGTGTGTGTTTTCATTGGATGTGTGTGCAAAGTGTGTAGATGATCTTTTCCAGCAAATGTTTCAGTGGTAATTGTTAATTCAAGTTAATTATCTAATTATGTTCTGTTAATCAATACGACTGAGAAAAGGCTGGAACATGTCAGTGAGAAGCTGTGTTGTCTACAAGTTGTTTCTTTTGTGGTTTTCACTTAACATTGATGTAAAATAGTAAGAAGAGAGCGCAGCCATGTGGCAGCTCTGTGGATTCCATTAAGACTTTGTCTTCAACATCGTGAGATCCTCGACTTCCCAGAGAATAATTCATGGATGTTGATTAAAAGAGAATCAGGCACGTGGACTGATGTCAATGAGTGTGTGAGTTTTGGTTCTACTGAGTTTTAGTTCACAGAGTTGACCACTTGGTGCCATTCAGGACAGATGTTAATACCAGATGTGAACAGTGTCAAGGTGAAGCTCCAGAAAAGGAGGAATTAGTCCTGAATGACTTCATAACACCTCATGAAAATCCACTTGAGATATTTCAGTCTGGGACAAAGTGGTGGACCAACAAACCAATCTGGTTTCTTGATGGGTGATTTTTCTGATTAATAAATCATCCAATGAAATAATAATAGTAATAATAATCAGTTGTTCCTGGATGACACAGACTTTAAAAATCAGTTAAAGTTGAATGAACAGGTTCTTGTGTGTTCTCTGGTGTTGTGCAGCAGCACAGTCGCTCCCTCACTGGGGCCCCTGTCCACCTTGTCACCGAGGATTCATTTCCTGTTGTGCACACACAGAAGCCTGGACGTTTGTGTGTATGTGTGTGTGTTTTAAGGGGCTCAGGGGGATGATTAGAGGTTCTTGCTCTCTTGCTGGGGAACCTTCCCGTTGACTGTGTTGCTCTGCTGAGGGACAGATGAAGGTTGGAGTAAAAGCTTCTAGTGTAAATATCTAACAACAAGAATCTCTACACACCATAAAGCATCCAGCTCATTCTCTGTGCTTTTT